AAAGCTAATTTATATTATTAAAAGACTAGACTTTAAAAATCAGCTTTTTAAGAATCTTAAAAGTAATTCTTTAAAAAAATTAAGACTTAAGATATTAATAAATAGCTTAATCTTTTACTACTTAATCTAAAGAGAAATAGCTAAATATTAGAAATAATAAAATATAACTTAGAAGAATAAAGATATATTACTTAAATATTATATAGTAAACTCTTTAATCTTATAAAGAAAGCTAGCCTTAACTACTATAGCTATATAATTAAAGTTATAATCGCTTTTTACTAAGTATAAAAAGCGCTATATTAGAAGAAATCAAAACTCTGTTATAATTAGAGAATTTTAGAGGAGACAGTAAAGAAAGTGTAGCAGGCGGACATAGGCTCACCTTTAAGTTAATTCCTGATGATCTGCATAAGTACCTAGTGCCTTTTCTGTCTTAGGAACGCTGGGTTACCTTATAAATCACGAACTTTCTGCTTCAGCCAGCCCTAGAAAGCATAAGAGCATATTGAGCGTCAACATCTTCGATTTTTGGCTTCGAATGAGCCCATACCTTGTCCTCACCCGCAATGTGAGGAGGTCCTTCAAGGTATTATGCACTTTAAGAATCACGCGGCTACTGTTCACAACTGCTTTCTCTTTGCTAGATCGGGGTTGGATTGACACAGGGTAGGAATATAAGATGTTTTAACATTTAGCATTAATATCATAGCATTGGCTTTAGATTTGCCTTGACTACGTCTCTTTTCTCAAAGTAGAGGAGATCTTTCGTAGGAGCCTATCTATTCTGTGGTCGGCGAGACCAGCATGACTTTCTGTGATGAAGAGAGCCATTTCCCTGTAGACTTTATGAATAACTTAGTAGTTAACACAAGGGTTTGGAACAGTAGGTCAGCTTAGAAGTTAATAGAACCCAATCGAAAAACTAACCCACATCCCGATGTAGTGAACAACCCTCCAAAATCCCTTCATGGTGAAAATGAAACAGATACCTAGGGCTTGGTGCCTAATTCTTCACCACAAAGTGTGACGATTCCCATTTAGATATTGCGAATCGAATATCCGAACATATATGTAGACCCTGGCAGCTAGAGAAGAGCTATACCGCAACGCGGTGGGAGAAATACGTGATAATATATGAGCGGTGGTCATTTGTCCATATTGAACTAAGAGAAATTTCTTGCCGCCAGTGTCCTTAATTCCCCATTTGAATTTGTCATTATCGTAGAAAGAGACATATTATACCAGATTAGTGTCCGATTGAAGACACAACTGAGCAAGGCGGGTCAATTATAATTTTCCAAGAGAATTTCGATGGCGTGGCAAGGTACTTCTAGAAGGCATTGTATCAAACCCTTACAGCTTGGCAAGAAAAGGTAGCTTGTAAAGACACGCATGCTCCAGCCACAACACCGCCGATCATCTTCGACGTGGTTCTATCAGCATCCATAACAAGCCACGTGATTTGCGGCCTGCAAGCTGCGGGAATGTCTCAGGGCCGAAAGTTCGACCGCGACTTTCGGCACCATGTAAAGCTTCCAGATAGAGCCTAATCTCTTCGAACTCAATATCGTTGCCAAGTCGATGCATGATTGGTGTTGTCCCAATTAAGCAGATCTTTCTTGGTGATCCGATCCTCCAGCGCTGTCTCTAATTCTACCGTACCAGCTGGAACAAGGGTAAAGTCGTTGCAAACCTTCCACTCGTGGTAAGAAAGACTTCCTCTAGCATCATTTGTTGTTGAGGCCTGCACATCAATGCTATAATTCTTTGAAGATCTCAAAATATTCTGCACAATGTGTAACGGCTCGGTCCAATATGTCCTGTAATTTCCAATCACATTTGCTCGCCCTATACCTTGCCAGTCCTTAGAAGAGTCAGCCTCGTCCACGCGCAACGCCCAACCACGATGGCCAGGACGTGTATCGAGATACAGCCGGTGCTCCGCATGGTTCCTCAGTCCAATCGCTCTCTTGACCCTAGTTGGAATATCCTTGACGATATGATCTCTCGCGAGATGTTGCTGCTGGGAGGAACTTTCACAAGCAGGTCCTCATGTTCCAAAACAAAAAACTGGCGCAACTTAGAGGATAGAATTAAGAGAGACATGGAGGGCAAGATTATCTCTCGAAGAACCAAGGACCTCACCGCTGTCAATCAATCAGACTGTCCTTAGGAAGTCTGTATTTCCTGGCGGAATGTTGGTAAGCGCAATTCAGGAGTCAAGCGCTTTGTTCTCGCTATCAAGTCTCTTGATCATAAAGGTCATCCGCTTGTGGATGATCCTTTAATGTTTCCTATTAATATGCGGTCTCTTTCTGAGTTTTAGACATTAGCAGCCGTTGCTACTCGTTATTGACAAGCTATTATGACATATCAAACCAGTCATTAAGTAATTAAAGTAGCGGAGGAATATGGTATTAATTCGACGGCTAAGCAGTATTATAATACTGTAAGGAATATAAGAGGAGATAAGGCAGCTCCTAAAACCATTGGTAGACTACTTATAGCGCTTTATAACGCCGAATTTGTGTATCAAACTCGCGTTAATATTGAAGAGGATAGCTTTAGCCGTGAGACTAGAAGAAAACTCGTCTAAATCTGGTTTACTCATCTTATTCTTTTGGGGGCAACAAAGCGCTTTGTTGCTGATTAGCTCTGTGTGATTGATGGCACTTTTAGTACTAATAATTTGCGTATGCTAATCCTTATTACTGTGAGTGTATTAAGTTCGGGAAAGACCTTTCTATCGCCTTTTCCTTCTGTCTTTCTGAATCCGAGGAGTCATATTTTTTTTTAGGAGAGTCTTAAAGCGTACTGTTTTCAAAAAGAGGATGAAGAAGCAGCTATGCCTCCTCGCGTGGTTCTCAAAGATCAAGCTGGTAGCATTCTTGCTTCCGTCTCAAAGACATTTCCTAATGCTATAGTTCAAATTTACGATTAGCATGCTATTAAAGCTATGTTAACCAAATTTTGACGATCTAGCAAATATAGTAAGAAGGATATCGATAGATATTTTGACGAAGAAAAGAAGATTAAATATATTAGTCTTAAAGAGCGGGCCTGGACCTATATCAAATCTATAACGAAGGAGGAGCTTATAAATAATCGACAAGCTCTATTGAATAAGCTTAATCCTGCTAAATGTAAGTATATCAAGGAAACATAAGGGCTGAAGGAGAATCAAGTGATTTATTTATACACTTATCAATACCCAAATCTAGGCTCCACAAGCAGTCAACGAGGAGAGTCCTATCACCATGTTATGCGTGAGGTCACTAATACACAACTCTCATTAGAGGACTCCGCTAAAAGACTCTGTTCAAAGGTCAAATCTATCCTCAGAGATTTAGCAGTAGATGAACAAGATTCTCTTCGGAAATACTCACGCTTAGCGTAGGCGTATGCCTTTACAGATTTGAGATATAATATCTCAAATTTTGCTTTGAATCTATTACAACAGGAATGATATACTCTAAATCAAGCGACAGCTATGTTACAAGTATCATCAAATAGCTGTCAATGCGAGATTCTTCTCTAATTTGGTATTGCTTGTAAGCATTACCTTTCAAAAGCTTTTTGTACCGGCAAACCTCTTCCTTATTTTCTTATTCATCCGCGCTGGTGGATATACAGCTCTATTATTAATTTCACAAATTGGCAGCCAAAATACGCAGAGGAGATAGAAACGCCACCCCCTTATAATGTCTCTTCAAGACAGCAAGAACGACAAGAGGAGAAAATAGCAAGAATTTGGCAGCTACTTAGAAATGAAGAAAAAGACCGATTTAGTATTCAAACTAAGCAACTTTATCAACAGGCTACACAGTAAGCTGTTGAGATTAGTAAACAGCATTTACAGCGACAACAACTACCTATTAATCAACCAGATCCTATCTTAAAACGTGATGATATTCGACAGAAAAGGGGTCATGATAAGGCGAACGCTTGAGGAATGACTGCTGCGGAGCACTCTAAGCAAGAGCTAAAAGAACAAGAAAAGAACGTTCAGGCTGCGGAGCACTCTGAGCGAGAGCTAAAAGAACAAGAAAAGAACGTTCAGATAGCGTCTTCACAGCCTGATCCTTCTTTTGTTCAGTTAACTACGCCATTAACGCCTTCATGGCCCAGTCTTTATTCTATTCAATTGGCTGCTCGAACCCCTGAACGCCCACAATCACGACCCCGTCGCAGTCCTTCTCCAGAGGATAGCCCTGAGCTGGTCCGTCCGGAAGAGGGAAAAAGAAAACGTAGTGGAGCAGTATGGAAGGGCAAGGAGAATGAGACAGGGCGAAACGACGGATTGCGGCCTGCGCCTGTTCTTAGGCCTAAATATTCTATGGCCGAATATAAAGAGTATCTGAAGTGGCAGAGCAAGAAGAACGCTCTAAAGGAGGATGCTCTTGAAAAGAGAGAGCTAAGAAGACTCCAGAAGTCTAACGGTCAGGCTCCTCCACTATGGTCAACAATGCCTGAGTTTGCTGGGATGACGAGAGCAGCAATAAGGAAAGAAGGCGCTTCTACTGAAAGCTCGTCGTCAATACAGCGTCAAGATACCAGAGAAGAGGAAGAAAAAGAGGAAGAGGACGAGGAGTAGTGGCAACAATTGTGTGAGTAGCACCGGAGCGCAGGAAAGCCGCAGGTTATGAAGAGGCGTACCATGGCGTAGATTCAGCTTCCAGGAAAGCCGCAGGTTATGAAGAGGCGTACCATGGCGTAGATTCAGCTTCCTCAGAGGCCCTGCCGGCGGCTGCTGTGGGCCTCTCTTGTTTGTGATCTCTTTTGATAAATTTATCCCCTCCGTCCCTGAACAGGGGTGTAGAATGGTCCAATTAGCGCTGTCGATCACTACGAAGGGCACAAAATATCAACAAACGTCTCTTTTGGGCGAATTGAGGCCATTCTATCTAGCAATTGACTCCAATTGAGTGGTGATATTGTTGCCAACAGCTTCCTTCGATACAGAGCCAAATTTGGCACTTGCTGCATTTGAAATAGGTCCTTGACCCACCAGAAATAGCCTTATTTGCGCCATTTACAGCTGTTTCTGTGATATTTGTTCCGAATTTGCGCTTGGGAGCCCTTTTGCGTACACAGCCAGGCTTGTGAAGCTTTCCCTATTCGCACTGACTATGAGTTTTCTCTTGTACGCATTTATAGTGGCGTTGAGAGACTACTATAGGTAAAGGCTAGGATTGTTCTTCTTTTTTTAGATTATTTAAATATAGTAATTAGTTATATAGAGCGCTTATAAAGGTCTTATAAGTATCGTGATTCTGCGCATTATTACTCTATTTCTATAGTAGATATGTATTAGTATAAGTAACATTAAAAAGAAAGAAAAATAAGGGCTACTATATTTAATAATTCTGCTTACAATAGTATTGTTACAACATAACCTGCGTAATGGCCCAGAGGGGTATTAGGGCTGAGGACTAGGGCAGGCTTGGCGCTCTGAGCGTCATACCTCGCTTTTCGCCTCTATAGCACTTAGATAGTTTAGTCTTCATTATACTAATCGACATAGTTATATAGTTGCCTTCTATAGCTTCTTCGTAACTCTCCTGCTTCTATAGTACTCCCTACCTTGTTACATAGCTTTCTGCGTAATAGGCATATAAAACTTGCGTGTAATTGATTAGCTTAGTCCATGCCCTTTATATAGTGATTATATTTATTAATAGTTATTAGAATAAAGAGCTTTTTGAATAGTTAACTGTCAAAAACAGGCAGTACAATTTGTTAATTTTTAAATGTTATTTTTAGGCATCTTTATATATACTGAACTTTATTCTTAACCTTGTAAAGGCTGTAAGCAGTCAAAATAGCGCTAATAGCCTTATTATCTTGCTAAACAAAGCAGAGAGTATTATTATTAATAACCTCTGCTATTATAAAGTCTTATAGTAGCTTATTTTGCTTAAAATAGCTCTAAAGATATAAAGGAAATCTGTTAGCCTTTTTATGTGTTATACCTATATAATAAACTCTTATAGTTAATAGGCACTATATAACAGATATATTTAGAAATAGATTATCTAAATAAACGTAGAATTTGAGCTATTTTAGAAGCTATTTAGCCAAGCATAAAATAAGCACAAATATAAATGTTAATAAGGTGTGTTTAGCGCCTATAAAGCGCAGGCATAACTAGCTTGTTTTTATTTCTTTTTTAAGTGTTTTAACTTTATTTATTCTAAAGTGAAATAATCCTGTGCTTGTACATGTGTCGACTTGTTCTTTAGCTTGATTATATATTTTAAATAGCTTGTAAAGGCGACTATAGCCTTATTAATAGCGATATAAGAGAAGGGATAAAAGAAATTTTGATAAGTAATTTAAATAAAGTTAGCTATATGTTGAATTCAATAAAATTAGGGTGTATTTAGAGGCGCAGAAGCACTATTTGTATTAAAAAAGCGATAAATAAGTTTAAATTAATCTCGACTTATAAATTAATCTAGATTATGTAATTTCTAATAATCCGTTTGTACTGTTAAATAGTATAAGCTAAAATAGAGATTTATCCTTATAAATATACATATTTCTGCCGGCGTAATAGGTACTCAGTAACATTTCTTAAGGAAAGGAGGATTTTGTAATTTGAACACAGCGTATTTGTAGTTTCTTCAGAGAGGATTTCCACTACGAAATCGCTAAAAAAGAGCTGAAAAAAGCCCAATTCAGATAGATTAGTGTATTGAGATAGATTAGTGTATCGAGAAGCTCCTGCTCGATTTCGAACGTAATTGGCCTCAAAATGAGGGAGTTCTGTTGAAATGAATGTCGAGGGTTCATCTGCGCATTCTGGCGTCGGGGCAATCACTGCCAAGGCTTGATCGATTTTATTTCGATCAACGCTTTTGGAGCCAATTTTTGACTGTTTTGACTGATTGTTGTTTCTGTGTATTGACGGAGGTGAGTTATCTCTGTATCTCAGAGGAATTTGCGTATTTCGCTGTGGTCGTAGCATAGTAAGTGGCTGAAAATTTATTTATAAAAAGCGCAGTGGAAAGCTGTGACGCTCATATGCGGCTAAAAAACCTTATTCTGCGCCAAGACGCTAATTGGACCACCTAGGGACGGAGGGGATAGCACTTCTATCTTGAAGCACAAGTTTGTGTGGTACCCCCACACTAAATCATGCCGAACTTCTGCCGGGGCCGAAAGTCGCGGTCGAACTTTCGGCCCTGAGACATTCCCGCAAGCTGCGATCATGGGTAGCTGGGCGAGTCGGCCTGAAGGGGCTTAGCAGGCTGGTGATCTCTTCACTCTTCAAGTAAATAATTACGATATCCTCCTCTCGAGTTTTTCTTTTATAGAGAAGTATATAATCCACTATTATGTCAGGGCTTGAGGTGCTTGGCGGCATCAGTGCGGTGATTGCAATCATCGACGGCTCAGTCAAGATCTGGGAGAGTGCACGTAAAGACCTCAAATTCAGCGAGACCTTCGAAACCGTGGGTGATCGACTACCCATTCTTCGAGACATTCTCCAAACCTGTCACGAGCATTTCGAGCCAATCAAAAAATCCTTACCCGCCGATACTGCCCAAGGTCTGGTGAAGACTGTTAACAACTGTAAGAGGAAGGCTGAGAAACTGGGCACCATTTTCCAAGAGACGATCCCGGGCGAGGATGACTAGTAGTACGAGCGGTATCGCATGGTGGCTCAGCGACTAAGCAAGGGGAGCAAAGTCGAAGAGTTGATGAGGGCAATCACAGAGGATGCACAGAATCTGGTCAACTACCATGTAGTGAAGTCGGCAAGCCTAGCACTGTACACGAGACTCGGACAAATTGCCAAAGAGATGGCTTCGTTGGCGCTATCACTACCAAAGGACGAAGCTAATAAACTAAGCTTTTACAACTACAGCAATAGTAAACAAAATATTAGTACAGGCAACAGCACATAATACATCCATCAAGGTGAGGGCGTGATGAACAATTTTGGACCTGTTACTGCCTCTCTTACCTTTAATTAAGGTAAGAGTAGCCAGACCTAGTTATAAAGAGAAGGTATCTATATGGCTCTATAAACAAATTAATAAGTTTTATATTTGTAAGCAATATTTTTCAAATCTATTAATAATATTAATCCCGCTCTGTCTAATTACTTTTGAATAGCCTAAGGCTCTACTATCGCCATTATTAATAGTGCCTTTCTGTTATAACGTTAATTTTGTTAACCGTGAGACGTCATATAATAGTAGGACTCTGTTAGAACGTATCGAACAACAGTGTAAACCTGCGGTGTTAAGAGTTGTACTTATAGGAATTAGTAGAGCCGGGTAAGTTAATTATTCTTTGTCAGACACCATCTAATAACAAGCCTATAGTAAGTCCTAGCTCGGCATTGAATATTACCATCGCCTCTGTAAATAGTCCCCTTAAACGTGGATGTTTTGGATTCATGCAAGCAATACCGACCGAATCAAGCAAGGATACCGCGAGATAGCAGAGCAGGTAAAGATTCCTGGCCGCAAAGATCTGAAAGAGAACATATTTGATTTGGTGGCAAGATAGCTCCAGGATAAGTTAAAGGGGACATGATTGCTAGTACTAGACAATTTAGATAACGACGCTGTCTTCTTAATTCCTTAAGCGGCTGCATTAAGGGCGTAGTCTAGTGATAGAGATGATTAGCTCAGGCGACTATTATTAGCATATCTTCCATAAAGCCAGAACAGGGCAATTCTAATTATAATATAAATAAGCAGTATAGTGACAAAGCTCGTTAAGCCCTAGGATATGATTATAGTTAATCTCATGACTAATATAGATGTAATAACGCTTCTAAAAAAGAAGTTAAATATATCTGTTAATAATAGCAAACTATAAGAGTTAACGTATATATTAGAATATATGCTACTAGCGATTATGTAGGCGATGATATACATCTAGTAAAAAGGAGTAAGATACAATATATAGTAATATATTAAAGCATTTTAGCAAAACAATAGATAGTTGACAAGTCTCTTAAATTATGAAGCGGGCTATTTTTGCTAAGATCTAAAAGCGAAGATGTTAGGGCTTAACTAGTTAAGACAAGTCTCAACTAGAAGCTAGGTCTAAAGGCCCAGTTGGGTAAAACAGGAAGTGCAGGAAGCAATACTAAGATGTCTTTAACTTAAGTATAAGCTGATAACATAAGTTAACTACGAAGACTATAAAACTATTTGGGAAATAAGCGTGCTTATATAGGCTAAGAGATTCGTGCTTATAGCCGCTCACTTATAAGCGCTCATGAGCGTTGCTCATCAGTCCCTCCTCATAAACACCTTGCTCAGAGTTGTCTCCGCATAAGCGTGTCCTTTCGCCAAGCCCTTTGGGTTTAGTTAGTTCCAGGGTCTCCTCACACAGGGTCCGTGCCGCCTCTAAGGCCTGTTGGTGCCTAGTGCGTTCACGTGCTATAATACTATCCCCTCCTCTCCTTAGCTTGGTCCTACAAGCTAAAAGAGTATGTTGTAACTTCTTAGGGTTTTCTAATTTCTCCTTCTGTGATGCCTCTATCTGAATCTTGCATTAGCAAATCGAAGTCTTGTGTTTAGTGTCAGGCTTTGTCTAAGAAGATAGCCCTTTAGGGTTGTTGTATTAATATATCATGTTTAGTATATAATTATAATAAGAAACTATGTTTCTTTTTATTACATTCCTTAAAGTGTTTGTACTATATAGCAAAGGGTATTCTATATAATAGGAATTATTTAAAGGATACGTTTTAAAAGCTTAAGTCTAAGAAGCAAAAGCTATAATAGGCTTTTTAGACTCTTTATATATATTAATACTAAGATACTTAAGCACGACGCTCTTCCGATCTGTAAATTAAGTCTTTTTAAAAGGCTTAAGGCATAATAATTACTTAAAAGGCTTATTCCTTAAAATAAAAAGAGCTTATTTAAGAGTTATAATCTAATATTATTAAAGTTAATACTCTTAATAAGTAAAAGTTAACTACTTTAATATTCTTTTTATTTAGTTTAGATTTTAATAATAGTAATTTATAAGTATCTTAAAGCGTGCATTGCCATAGTATCCACCTTGAGCATTTACCTCCGCGTGCTTAGCCAGCAACATCTCCACCACCTTCTCGTGACCTCTTTCAGCCGCCCAATGTAATGCTGTTCTACCAGTGCTATCCCGTGCCTCCAGCTCGAATTTAGCCCTGTGAAAGATTTCATTAAGGACGAACGCGTGATCACTCATGGAAACCACATGTTGAATCTGTACTTCCGCTGTCCGTTGATATGGGTAAAGTGCCTTCCACATAATGGGAAACCATGCATGAAATTGATCCGTATCTGTTGCGTACAGGAGTAGGACTCGATCTAGTACTTTCCTGTCTTTGGTAACAACATCCTCTCTTAGATGCGATGTCCAATGCTCAGCACAATATTCAAAGAATTTGTTCTGCCCTTCCCAAGTTGACCGCGGGACCACTGGGACTCTGGTGTCGGCGCGCTTGTAACCCTGGCGGCGTTCGTCGCTAGGTCTGCGATCTTGTTGACGGAGACATAAGTACGTCACACACAGTCTCGCCATTTCACCTTCAATCTCCGTCTGGGAAAATGTTGACTTCCAGCAGCCTGACATAGAACTGAAATTGGAGCCATGTGCGACAAGGAACTCCTTAGCAGTTTGGTGGATGAGAAAGAGCTGGGAATGCTTGATAAAGACGAAGAGGCCACACCATTGTCGGATATGTCTCTCCAGATGCTGCACGTTTGGTTTCTTTATATACGATTGACCTAGTTCGTGCGCGCTGGCCGCATTCAACGCCAGGCTCATCTCGCTAATGGTTAATGGGCGTCGCACACCAACGATGATGAGCAAGATCTTTCGCGCCTGGGACTTCTGTTGTTCGGTAATTCTTTCCAATATGCGTTCGTATGCACTCTCTACTGATATAGGGAGAGTGTTAGTGGGCTCCTCTTCGGGATCAGGGCTGTCCCGATACGTGGTCCGTATGTCTTCCATGGCCAGATAGAGCCAGAGGTAGGTGCGATGTTCCATCTGTCGTAGGCTTTGTCGTAGCCTCTCTTGGTGATTTCCGGAAAGCCTAAACTCGGTTGCAAGGCTGTCTATCTGTCGGTCCATCACCAGATTGATCTCCTCGTGGATCTGGTCGTTCTTGTCCTCTCCTCGCAGCCGGATCTGTGGCAAATGTGACGTATTCTCCTCAAACCAGCGCTGCACATTGTCATAAGGTCGGCTTGTCACCAAAAATTTCAGCCGACCTCCCGACAGCGCGGGCGATGACCGTTGGTAAAAATCACAAAGTTTAGCGATGAGCTGTTGTCGGTCCTTGTCCTGACATTCGTCTAATGCGTCCAGGACACATACGATGGGTCCAGCTGACGGGTCGGCCGCCGCGGCGAGGAGAATTCGCCACATTTCCTCACTTTCTTGCTGTATCTTGTCCTGGACCTTATCCCATGCGGGCAGCGCATGACGCAGTAGTGACGGTTGGTGATCAAAGAGTTGGTGGAGAACGGCGCATAAAGCAGTGTTAAGGTTGTTCTGGCGTTCATTGTCTTTGAAGAAAAAGTAGCAGACACTATGCTGATCTGCATCGCCAAATTCATGATCGACCAGAGACTTGGCGAGGACGGATTTGCCACATCCCGGATCGGCCGATATCCACAGGAGATCATGATAGCGGCTTTGTTGCCACGCTCGAAACTGACTATGGTTGAGCAACCATCGGCATGTGCCCGAAACTCTCTTTGGATTGATGTTTTTGTACCGTTCATAAGTACTTGTTTTAAAAGCCTGGTGGCAATGTTGTTCACGCTCGGTTAGATGCCGTACTTCAGATTTATGGGAATGCTCGCGTTGTACCTCGATGGCTTGTTTCTGAAGCTGGATGCCTTCGCCAAGGAGTTCGTGTGTTCGATGATCTATATCTGTGGTCAGCAGCGGTCAACACCCCCCTTTCACATCATGGAACGCGACGTCCACCCGTCAATGTAACCTCTTTGGCCTCAAGCCCCGGAAGGGCTTGCTGAGTCAAATCGATCGTAACATGCTCGTTTTTTAAGCACAAACAAAGTAGGAGTGCGCAGAGACACGAAAACTCGTTATCTCTGATGCGAAACAATGGTTTCGTTTAGAGTTCAACGTGAAGATGTCGAGTGGGACTTACTCATGGCGTCCGTAGCATGTCGTGTGACATGCACCGCCGTAGGACTGACAGTCGACAATAGTTCTTTTGCAAACGCTGCCGCGGTGACAGCAGCGTACTTTTGCCATACATCGTTCTT